TTGCTTTTTTAAAACATTCATGAAGAAGCCAGAACCATATATAGCTTCACAAGGGAATTTCACCAAATCTTTAAAAAAAAACAGCAAATGGCTGGGTGGTGGTGCAAGCCAGGCGGTGGTAGGCACATCTTTAATCCCAGCACTCAGGAAGCAGAGGCAGGAGGATCTCTGTGAGTTTGAAGCCATTCTGGTCTACAAAGCAAATTCCAGAACAGCCAGAGCTGTAACACAGAGAAACACTTGCTCAAAAAAATAAAAAAATAAAAAAGTGAGGCAAATGCTACTCACAACCTTCTGTAAAATAGAATAGGAAGGTACACATCTTAACTTACTTTAAGAGTCCCCAGTGCTGAAACCAGGCAACAACAAAACAAACTGTAGCCTAATATCTATTATAAATATGCATGAAATAGCCTAAACAAAACCGTAGCAAGCTGAATGTAGTAGCATATTAAGAAGATGATAAATCATGACCAAGTGGGATTTAGCTCAGGAATGCAACGGTGATTCGACTCAGAAAAATCAGTCAATGTAATGCACTACATTAGCAGAATGAAGGCAAACCCACATGGTCATTTCAGTTGACGGGGGGAAAACACATTTAACACAGATCTTTTGTGGGAGATTTCCTAAGCAATTAGAGGAACTTATGTGTAAAACCTACAGAGAGTATCATATTCAGCTGTAAGATTGACCCTCACACACACAATTTTGAAAACAAGGCAAGGGGTTTGAACTCCAGGGCACTCTAACCCATGTTGGAATGCAGCTGTGCCTTTTGTCTACATACCACCCTGGCTGCTTTTCTTTACCATCGTGGAGTTGAGCATAGTGACTAGTAGTCTGGCACACAAAACCTAACATGTTTGTTGACCCCGCCACAGTGCTAGATAAGAAAGAGGTAAACTAGGCTGTGGAACAGAAACATGGAACATTTTTATAGGACAGGCTGTGGTTGGTGCATGTAACATCCTGTATTTTTTTAACCTTGCCATACTGAAGCATAAAGAAACTGAGGAATGTAGTGTGACTTGCTGCTGGGAAGAAAGAAACAGTGCATTTCAGCAAATAATTGGTATCTTCTGACATAGTCCTATTTTTCATAATCACTCCAAACCAGAACTACTCCAGTATCCCCCACAGCAATAGTGCATGACACAGAAGAGGACGCAGCAAAGTGAGCAAACCGTGTATACACAATCATCAACAGAAATAAAAACTTATTTAGTTTTTAAGAATCAAGAGCACCAATGCTAAAGAACTTTTTTTTTCTAATTGACAGAATATAATTAACATTTTAAGCCAAATACATATTAAAGCTGTAGAGAACAGAAAGGAAACAATATTCAAAATAGTGCTTGACTCTGAGGAACAAAGACATCATGGCTGGGGACAGAAACAGGAGGTGTCCTAACCACCAGTGCTGTCACTGGATCTGGGGAAAGGTTATGCCAGCATTTGTGTGTGTGTGTGTGTGTGTGTGTGTGTGTGTGTGTGTGTGTGTAATGGGTTCCTCAACCTAAACTGAACAAATGATGCAATTCAGCTGTTTTTAACAAAGAGCCCAGAAGCAGAAGTTCTTAATCTTTGAACACCATGAAAAGTTATCAAAAATGTTGATTATAATGGGCTTTTTTTCTTTGGGGCCACCAACCCGCTCACATATCACGACAGACACTTATTATTAGTTTTGAATGCTCGTCCTACCTTAGGCACATTTCTAGCTAGCTCTTTTAATTTTAATTAACCTGTTTCTCTTTATCTACCTTTTGCTCAGGGGTTTTTACCTTCTCTTACTTTCTGTCTCTGTGGCTGCTTGGCTCTGGCCCTGGGCGTTTCCCTCATTCTCTCCTCTCTTCTTCCTCACAAGCATAGATTTCTCCTACTCATTCTCTCTGCCTAGCTATTGGCCATTCAGCTTTTTATTAGAACAATCAGGTGCTTTAGGCAGGCAAGGTGAAACAGATGCAGCACATGTTTTCATAACTAAACACACATTCTTACCTCATGAAACAAGTGCAGCACAAACAAACATCACACACCTTTACACAGTTAAAGGAATATCCTGCACCATAAAAAATGGAACACATCTTTGCCTAGTTAAAATAATATTCCACAGCAGTTGACTAATGGATGGGCAGATAAATACAGCTACATATAAAGAGGAAATGGCCCCATTCATCTTTATAAGCAAAAATTATAGGTATGTTCACACATGAATTAACATAGGCATTTATATAAAAATTTGATTAACCTATTGGATAGCATTCTTCCTAGAACTTAGATTTTTTATAACATATAACATCTTTGTATTTGTGTTTGTAATTATATAGGGTTATATATTTCTGTGAATAAATGAAGATACAATATTGCTGATTTAATATTAAATCAGAATTTATCAAAGGAACAAATATAGTTAAAATCTAACATGTGGCTTTTGAAAACTTAACTTTTAAAAAGTTTTGAGAATTAAAAAAGAAACGAGAAGAAACTTGACCTATACCTGAGAGGCAACATTCTTGATTGACCTTTTTGGGATCCATACCCTTCAGAATTTGATGGAATCTGTGGTCCTTCTCCCCACATGTTATGCAAGTTTTTCCAAAAACATCCGAACGTCCCTGATGTGCATTCTAGAAGTGGGGACATCACCTAGATCCTCTGAAAGTCCCTTCCTTCAGTTTCATTAGATATCACTTGTCAGAACTGAATTTAATAGAAGTATCAAAACAAAAAAGTCTAGTGTTGTGTTCCAAGATAGTGACTAAAGAATAATTTTAATCTTTTCCTACCAGAAACATCCTCTTCCCTCCCTGCTCACCGACAAACCCCTTATTTTTGCCTCGACTTGTTGTCTCTACTTGTTACCTATCTTCATCCCCTGCCTCCATTCTGTCTTAAATTGTCTGTAATATTAAATTCTCTAGTTTTTACTATTTCTGTCCTTGAGTCTACCACTAGGTTCATCTCTCCGGACCAGTTAGGCATGGTGTTGTTGGTGCTGGTTTTCCTGTTCAAACTATCTAACAGGGTGACTAGATATCTGTCTGGCAGGCCCGAGTGCATTTAATCCAGTGTCACCCTCATAGCTGTGCAGTGCTGGGCATGCGCTTGAACTCCACCTCCAGTTCCATAAGATGGGGAACAGAAAAGAACCTGAGGCTCTTAACACAACTGATAACTTAAAATACTTATTAGAAAGTTATCAAGGTTTAGTCATTTTTTAATAAATATTTATTGTTGTGATAAGACACCATGACCACAGCAACTCTTATAAAAAAAAGCATTTAATTGGGGTGACTCCCTTATAGTTCAGAGGTTCAGCCCATTATCATCATGACAGGGAGCATGGCGACATGCAGGTAGAAGTGCTGGAGCTAAAAGTGCTACATCTTGACCAGAAGTCAACAGGAAGTCAACTGACTGTCACACTGTGAGAAGCTTGAGCAAATAGACCTTCAAGCCCACCCCCACAGTAACACACTTACATTAACAAGGCCACACCTCCTAATAGTGCCTCTTCCTTTGGGAGCCATTTTCTTTCAAACCACCATATCATTCTTTCCTACAAGAAAGAGTAGATCTTCCCAAATAAGCTTTTAATGAATATTGGGCCGCAGTTTCCCAGAAACCAACAGAAATTATGACAGAATCCTCAGAGTTCTCCAAAATAAAGACAAAGATATTTCATGTTGTTGAAAGATAATATATATAAAATAAAAACCAAAAAGAAAAACTTAAGTCGGGTTTATAGAGGCCCACAGAGACTGGAACAACAATCATGGGATCTACATGGGTCTGTGCTAGGTCCTGTGCATCTATGTTATAGTTGTTAACTTGATATTTTGTGGGACCCCCTAACAGTGGGAGTGGAGGTGTCTCTGAATCTTTCATCAGCTTTTGAGACACTTTTCCTCCTACTGAATTGCCTCAGATAGCCTTGATCTGAGGGCTTGTGCCTAGTCTGATCTGATCTTGTTATGTTCAGTCAACATCCCTGGGAGGCCTGCTCTTTTCTGAGGGGAAATGGAGGAGAGATGGATTTGCTGAAGAGGGGAGGTGGATTGAGGAGAAATGGGAGAAATGAAGGGGGGAAACTGCAGCCAGAATATATTAAGAACAAAAATATAAAATAGGTAGATAGATAGATGATGGATGGATAGATAGGATAGATGGATAGATAGATAGATAGATAGATAGATAGATAGATAGATAGATAGAT